CCCAGCCTTCCTGTAGGTTCCCTTCAGGTACTGGAAGGCAGCTATTAGGTCCCCCCAAAGTCTTCTCTTTTCAAGACTGAACAAGCCCAGCTCCCGCAGCCTGGCCTCGTAGCAGAGGTGCTCCAGCCCTTGGATCATCTTTGTGGCCCTCCTCTGAACATGCTCCAACAAATCCATTTCCCTCTTATGGTGGAGACACCAGAACTGGACGCAGTATTCAAGGTGGGGTCTCAAAAGAGCAGAGTAAAGGGGGAGAGTCACCTCTCTTGACTTGCTGGCCACACTCCTCTTGATGCATCACAGGACACAGTTGCTCTTCTGGGCTGCATGAGTGCACTGCCGGCTCATGCTGAAGTTCTCATCTATCAACACACACAAGTCCTTCTCTTCAGGGCTACTCTTGACCCACTCTGTGCCGAGGGTTGTATTTGTGCCTGGGATTGGCCCGATTCAGGTGAAGGACCTTGCATTTGACTTGTTGAACCTCATGCAGTTTGCACTGGCCCATTTCTCAAGCCTATCAAGGTCCCTCTGGATGGCATCTCTTCCCTCAAGTGAGTCCACGGCACCACACAGCTTGGTGTCATCGGCAAACTTGCTGAGAGTGCACTTCTTGCGGTCATCCATGTCACTGACAAAGATGCTGAACACCACTGGACCCAGAACAGACCCCTGAGGAGCTCCACTTGTCACTGGTCTCCATGCGGACATTGAGTCATGACCACAAGTTCACGTCTCTCCACCTTAGAGACAAGGATGTCACGTGGGACAGCGTCAAATGCCTTGCACAAGTCAGTTGCTCTTCCCATATCAACCAGAGCTGTAGCTTTGTCATAGAAGGCCATCAAATTAGTCAAGTATGATTTGCCCTTAGTGAAGCCATGTTCGCTGTCATCGATAACCTCATTATTTTTCATGTGCCTTAGTACTGTTCCCAGGAGGATCTGCTCCATGACTTCACCTGGCACAGAGGTGAGGCTGACTGGTCTGTAGTTCCCTGGGTTTTCTTTGCTTCCATTTGTAAAAATGGGAGTTATGTTTCGCTTTTTCCAATTTGTGGGAACTTCGCCAGACTGCCACAACTTCTCAAATATGATGGCAAGTGGCCTAAAAACTTTAGTCGCCAGTTCCCTTAGGACCCGTGGGTGTATCTCATCAGGTCCCACGGACTTGTGCTCCTTCAGGTTCTCTAGGTGTTCCCGGACCCGATCCGCCCCTACCCCAGGTGGTTCTTCACTCTCCCAGACTCAGCCAGTGCCCTCTGTGACTTGGGTGGTGTGGCTCAAGTGTTTATCAGTGAAGACTGAACAAAAAAGTCGTTGAGTACTTCAGCCTTCTCCATACTTGCTGTAACCTGTTCACTTGTATGGCTCCGGAGAGGCCCCACATTCTTATTTGTTTTTCTTTCTTCTTTCGTATATCTGTAGAATCCTTCTCTGTTATTTTTAATGTTCCTGGCCAGATTTGATTCCATCAGGGCTTTAGCTTTTCTAACCTGGCTTCTGATTTCACAAGCAATCTCCTTGTAATCATCCCAGGTTACCAGTCCTTGCTTCCACCCTTTGTGGATTCCCCGTTTATGTTTGCTTTCAGCTAGGAGTTCTTTGTTCATGCATATAGAACTTCTGGCTTTTTCGCCAGATTTCTTCCTTTTAGGGATGTAATGCCTTTGAGCTTGGAGGAGATGATCCTTAAAAGACAACCAGCTTTCCTGGGCTCCCAGTCCCTCCAGGGCTTTGTCCCATGCCATGCTACCAAGGAGGTTCCTGAAGAGGCGAAAGCCAGCTCTTCTGAGATCAAGGGTTTCAAGTTTGCTGAGCATCCCCTTCTTCACTGCCCTTAGGATCTCAAACTCCACCATCTCACGGTCACTGCAGCCAAGGCTGCCCATGAGCTTAACACTGCCCACCAGCCCCTCCCTGTTGGTGAAAACAAGGTCTAGCATGGCACCTCTCCTAATTAGTTCCTCTATCACTTGGAGGAGGAAGCGATCATCAATGTATTTCAGGAATCTCCTGGATTGCTCATGCCCTGCTGTGTTGTTACTCCAACTGAGAGTGGGGTGGTTAAAATCCCCCACGAGGATCAGGGCTTGTGAATGAGCAGCAACTCCTATCTGCTTATGAAGGGCCTCGTCCACTTGGTCCTCCTGATCAGGTGGTCTGTAGCACCCCTCCACTGTAATGTCTCCTACCCTTCCTTTCACCCTGGCCCGCAGACATTCAGTCTTTTCATCATTGCTTGCCAGGTGGAGCTCCATGCATTTTAGCTCTGCATTGACATAGAGGGCCACACTCCCTTCTCGTTTCCCCTGCCTGTCGTTCCCGAAGAGCTTATACCCTTCTAGCCCAACACACCAATCATAAGGGTCATTTCACCATGTCTCTCTGACGCCAATCAGATCGTAGCGCTTCAGGCTCACGAGCATCTCCAGCTCCCTTTGTTTACTGCCCAAGCTGCAGGTATTCGTGTAAAGGCATTTGAGCTGGGCCCCTGATAAAGTACCTTGAACTCCTGATGAAGTACAGTTACACTTCAGCTGGGCCAATGGTTTCGCTCCCATTTTGTCTTCATTTGACCTGGTTATAATCCCTTCCCTCTTCGTATCTAGTTTAAAGATCACCCAATGAGTCCTGCCAGCTCATGACCCAGGATCCTTTTTCCTGAACTCCTGATGAAGTACAGTTACACTTCAGCTGGGCCAATGGTTTCGCTCCCATTTTGTCTTCATTTGACCTGGTTATAATCCCTTCCCTCTTCGTATCAATTTGCCAGATGAATTTAAAAAGGAAGCTCAGGCCTCTGTGGTGGTTTTTGTCCCAGTCAGCTTGAACCACAACAGTTATTTAAGTCAGGGACCCAGACTGTCATTGCAAGCATGAGTCTCGGGAAGTAAATTCAAAATTTATCTCAAAGTCTCTTTACGCAAGGAAGCTCAGGCCTCTGTGGGCATTTCACACCCACAGCCTCTCTCTGTCTGGAAATTTACAGTCATCCAGAGCAACTAAATAACCTCAGTCAAAACAAAAACAATAGGACAGGCTGAAACTATAGCTAGACTTTTAAGTATGTAGAAATAGATTATGTTTCCCAAGATTTTTATAATTCTTATAGAAATGTTTAAAAAAGTAAAACATTAAACTCTTGCCAGTTCAGAAAATAATAATTTTCCATGAAGAATTACATTTTTTACCTACACTGAACACTGAGAATACTTAACTTCAATTTGCCAGATGAATTTAAAAAGGAATAAAAGTAGCTTGCCTTTTAAATATCAGGTAGAAGGGAAAAAAAAGCATGCAAGAAATATTCAACAGACAAAAAAAATCAGAAGAAAAGAAATATAAGCATTGTGACTTTCCCAAGGGAATAGTCTATGATATTTAAGGCGTATTATAGCAGCTAATGTAGAAAACACTACAGCAGTTGTACATAGACAATATACTACAGATTTAAAAATTACTTAGAAGATTATTACAAACCTCTGTGCCACTCAGTAAACTTTGCACAGGATGAAGTAGGGCATCTATCACTGCATCGGTATATAAACATTCAGCAGCACATCCCGTTTGATCACAGAAAACTTGCAGAATCTCCATAACAAGACTTGCTGGAGAGTAATTGTCTGGGGAACACAAGTAGTATTTATTTATATTTTAACTTACACAAACATACCTATATGGCTTATGTAGATACCTCTGAATTATAATTTTGTTAAGCATTAATTTTCCTTCTTCCTTCTAATTGTGTTAAAAGAAAAATCTGCACAAATAACAGAATCAAATGAAAAAAAATGCAAAAGAAGTTACCTCATGCTTCATTACAATTATATATATTAGCATATACTAAAACCAAACATTTACCTGTATGAGCTGCCACAGCTATCTTCGGGTAACTTGGAGAGTAATAAATAAGCTGAGTAAATAATACCAACAGATCAGTTACGGAAACACCATCTATTAAGAAAAAAAAAATAGTACTTTGCAAATTCAAAGTGCAACTTTAATTTCACAAATCAGACTGATTTTCTAAGCATATGCAAACAAACACTAAGCTCTACTGATGAAATCAACATGTGTCCAGCTGATAAAGCAAAGGACATGTGTGTCCCTGGGACTCTACCAAGCCATTTCACAATCAACTTACAAGCCTCAATTTTGCTACCAATCAAGCCGATTGCAATTTTACCACGTCCTCCATTGCAAAAAATGACAGCCAAAGTTTGAGAATGCTGAATATATACTGCTGAAAAAAGCACTACCTTGCTATCCAATTAAGTGAAAGAACTGGAAAAGAGACAAGCTGTCAGACAACTCTTTCTGAGGTCTGAAGCAAAAACAGCAAACGTAGCTAAAAGCAGTTTGGGAACTATTGCTCTAAGTTTAATGTAATTATGTTAATTAATCAGACAATTTGTGAGGAAAGAGTTGCTCTCTATGAAGCTGAGAAGAATGCTATTAAAAAAACAGATTTAAGATTGTTACTTTAGTAGAGGAGAGAAAAAAAAACAATCTTTGCCAATGGATCACTGCTTGAATTGTATTATACAGATAATCCATAAATGACAAAAGCACTCTATAAATAGATGTTTCTTCCTCACTATTGTTCTACATTGGATCTATTAAGTCCTGATCCTTAAACCAGAGGGACAAACGCTTTCAAAAGACAAGTGTTGAAATTATCCAGTAATGTTTTGAATTCTACATTGAATTAATAAACATATTAATGTAATGGAACACTACAGTTGTCTTCATACACTTACATTTGGCAACCCTGCACAATGTATCACTATACGCACATTTCTCTGGATGTCCAAAGGCTTTCCCATCACGAATCTTCTGTCCTTATTAACATCTCTGTTCCACAGGTACTATCCTTATCCTCTACCACTGTTTTACCTGAATTATATTAAGTTAAGCTCAGAGCAACTGTTTTTAATCTGCAATTAGCTTGAAATACCGATTTTGTTTCACAGTTGAAAAACAGTTTTGGTCCACAGACATGTTTTTCTTCCAAACGATTATATCAATTGGTTTGACAAAAGATATTACTTCCACCTAGAAAGACTAAATTATCTGCTGATCCATACCTCCTTCAACATGAAATATATTAAACATAAGGACAAAAGCAATCTATTCAATCACATCCATCAACAATTTAAAAACTGTATTGCTGTGCGAATTACCTATTCCACTTTTTAAAAGGCATCTCCAGGCACAGAATTGCTGAACAAAGTATTGTCCTATAATAGTCAGCATATTGCATTGTAAACATTTATCAAATACAGATAAAGCGTTGCTCAGTAGGCTCCACTTTCCTCAGCCCTGCCCTTACCTTTTTTACTTTTCAGCTGTACTGGAAAGATATTTCGGCCTTGCTTATATATCAACAATCTTCCTAAAAGGCACAGTGAATGAACAAAACAGACATACTGCAATTCTGGTCCAGTGTAAGAAAAGTTCTGCTTATCACCTTTAACAATAAAACAAAAAAAAATTAGAACTTGACTCATTTAGTTTATTTTATAATACCTAGCTACTACCATTAGCACTCATGGATCATGTTGTATGTAAAGACAGACAGCTTAAGTAACTAACCAAGGCTATTAGTGTTGTCTCAAAAGATAGACATACAACATTTTGGGAAGAAAAAGAGCAGATAGCATGTCTTCCTCCTGAGGCAGCATGCTCAGTGACCTAGACAATGTGGATGTATGTGCATACAACGCATGACATGCAGAAGATACTCACTAGAGTGCAGCTGGGAGAAGTCATTGACTCTGGAACTTCTATTCATGGCTGCCTTGCAAAATTCAAAATAATCAAGACATTGCTGGACAGCTGCAATAACCTGTGGAAAAAAATCAGAAAAAAACAAAATACCCAGTATTTTACAACAAATTAATTCTCTCTTGTATCCAGTTACTGTTCTTTAACCCAAGACTCTAATTATCCACTTCACTGCAAATATCTCATTTCAGGGCTTTTGGGTTAACCAACAGGAGGCAAAATTTAACAGGGTATTACATTATGGCACTACAAGCTCTATAAGCACCAAGATAATCTATGAAAAAGAGTACAGAGAACATGCAAGTACTTTAAGTTAATGGTAAACTGTGATTGCCATATTGTCATTACTACAGAAGATTTTCGTTTTCCATATGGGAAAAACTGTCTTGAATACATTTACTGAATCGTCAGTTTGGGTTTTGCTTGCCGTCATTGTTAATACAGAAGTGTTGTAGCATTATCATAGCACTATCATCTAATCAATGTAAATAAAATTTTAAAAATGATCAATGTGGATTTTGAAAGGAATCACAAACATAGCACAGGAACAAAGAAGTACATTTAGATTTATTACAGTTTGGAGGTGCTAACATAAGTAAAATTCACAGATATATGTTATGAAAAAAATGATCAGATGTTTATGTTTATAAAATTCCATTACACTACTCTGTTCATGGACTTCCTTTTCTCGCATAGAACATGCCTTATTCTATGCATATAGATAAACAAGACAAATGTCTTTTGTATTTGTCTGTACTCTTGTCTGAGATCTTAAGGTTTTACCAGCCACATATATTTTACATAATATCGCATGCATATTACAAGATTTTACAAAACAAAGCCAAAGTCCTGTCTATACGAATGGATCTCTCATCTACATTGTTCTTACTGAAAACAATGAGACTTCCACCCCAGTGAAGAGATCTGTCCATACAGAGCACGTGACAAAATTAACACCTAAATTACTGAATGTATTTTCCCAGTTTGATTTCTCTTGCTGACACTTTCAATCTTTAATGCCTTACATCACAACTTAAAGAACTTAAAGTTTTTAGTATTCTTCAATCAAAAATCCAAATACAGCACAGAGTTTTTATGGTATTTTTTCAAGCACCATTTGCTAATTTTATACCCTGTCAGAATATGAGTGCAACATAAGGAATTTATAAATAATAATCCTAATTAGACACCTGCCATAAAACATCCAAGCTTCCCCTTACTCAGAGCTAAACTTTCTTGCATTTAACAATAATTCATTCAAGCGAACAAAAATTTAAAGAAATCATAAAAATTCAAAAGGCTCACCTAGTTAAACAACATGGAACAGCTCTGACAAAAGGGAAAAAAGGAATGTTCAAACCATATTGTGCAAAACAAGTTCCAAGTAAATTTGCCTCGAGAAACACTTACCAAAGATTTATATTTCTTTTCCAAAAGCCTAAGTACCACTGTCCGGCTGTAATATGCATGCTAAAATAACAAAGAAGACCTAGTGTTAATTTCAAACATAAGAGTTTTATATTTTAATTAAAAAGTAGAAATTATCTCAGATTCTGTTCCGTTAGGGATCTCTCTTCAATACACTGAACCTCAGCTTGTGTAAACCAATATTACACTCAGCTGAGGCTTTCGTTTGCAGTACATTTAAAAAGACAAAAAAAATTACATCATTAGGAAAATGTGTAGCAGAGCATAAAGTAAAACAGAAAAACAATAACTACACTGAAATGTCAGACTATGTTTTTGACATTGCCATGTAAATCCTAAATTACAAGTTTATACATAGTATACATAGTATAGACTACAAAAAGTTTGAACGTCCACTAGAGCTTAGTAAGTTGTGTGCAGTGTACCATAAATATGACCATGCTTTCATGCTCATCACAAAAATCCCACAAAAAAAATCACCAGAATTCCTTAATTACTGTGCTCATTATAGGTTGTTATGAGAACACAATATTGGTCTGTGATAAAAACAGTTATAGATCAAACTTTTCAAAATACATATCAGACATGAACAAGTCATAGAGTGTTGTGTTGTTTGGGTTTTTTTGCTTACCGTCCACTTTTTAAACCATACTGCCTTGATATCTATCAGAGCCAAGAAGTAGATTGGACTCAAAAAATCTGGAGAGGCAGGATGACTAGGGTCATGCTTTACCGACAAAAGTGACAAGGTACTCTCCACTACTTCTTCCATGTACCTTATGACCCAATAGGAAAAAAGAGAAAACAAAAATCACTTGAATCCTTCCACCAGAAATATCCAGGAACAAATTTCTTGCAAAAACTTGTTGTTCAGAAAAATCATAAATATCCATAACATTAAATTGATCAAGTTACTGATTCTTTGTATTACCATAATAAAACTAACACTAACATACATGTGTATTCTCCTAAATTGTTACGTTTTCTAAGTGCTAAATATTACACTTTTAACTTGGCAAAAGATCCAAATTATTTTTGTTAATAAATAATTTGGAACACTTCGAAAGCTGCATAAACATCCTAATACAAGCTATGACTGCTCCAATGCAACTTCCCTATTCCACTTTTCCCACCCGCTATATTTACTTCCCCCCTTAACCAGGACCAGATGTTTCTGCATCCTGCGATAAATCTTTCACTAAAATTATTTGCAGCTAATTATATGTCAAAAATAATTAAATTAAGAAACGTTTTTGAAGGTGACATACTTTTCTGGATAACGAATCCAGGAAGATGGCGCTTCCTTTTGGTACTCATTTAAAAGGCGGACCTGGAAATATAATTATTTAAAAATAAATAATGTATGGTGTTTCAGTAATGATAAAGAGGTACGGGAAATTAATTTATACCTTTTTAAGTAAACGATTTATTTCTGTGTCAGATACATCCAGACCAGCTGAAACACGAAGAGAATATTCTCCAGAAAGAAAGTACAACTCCAAGTGTCTCACTAAAAGAGAAGAAACACAAAGCTCACACCTCACCTCCATGACAATAGTGACAAAACCGACTGCATTATAGAGCTTCATCATAAAAATTAACCGATATTCAAGAAATCCATGACACATGAAGTCTTAAATGTCATTAAACGCACATACCTAAACTTGTATAGACTTCTCTTGCCACATTAAATGAAGAAGAAAAGGTTTTTGCATAGAACCTAAGAATTTTATCCTAAGGAAGAAAAATAAGCAAAGTAAACGATCATTTAACTGTGTATTATTGCAGAATAATCAATATGTAATAGCATTATTCTTAGTATTATATATTGCTCAGATATCTCTATGGATGTCAAGCATATTTTACAAAAATATACAGTTTGGGACCACAGAAACCTATGGTTTTAATGAAATTTTATTCAAATACTTCAACTGACAGCACCAATGCAAAGCCTCAAGGAGATATAAAGTAGATTAGAGAATGTTATTGTATTTTTCCATTAATATTATTGCTTCCTGTTATCAAACATACCAGTGACTTGTAACTAGCACTGTTTTAAAAGAAATTGTAGAACTTCTAAGCTAAAAGAGGAACACATGACAGCAGTAGAAGCAACTTTCCTATGTATTTGGTAATTATTTTAAAACCCAAAGAGAAATTAAAAAAGACCTAATTGGCATAATAAATAATCTGAAAGCATTTTAAAAGCAGCTGACATTAATTTTACCTATAAGTGTCTGTGTAGTATCACTATGCATTATTTTCTCATCATCATGAAGCATATACTCGATGTAAATAGAAATATTAACATGACACTTTGTCCAGAGAAGTTTTGTCTATTATTTTTTAACATGTCTTTGCTAAAAGATTCCAATTAAAAGATAGGCAAATGAGTACTCCAGTCTCTCAAAATCCTATGGAAATTCTGTTGTAATCCTTTAAATCAAGACCAATAGGAATCACACAGTTATTTTACTTCAAAAGCAGTTTATGTGATACATACACAAATAATAAACTGTCTTGGGACCCTGCTGGACTACTCAGAATACAACTTCTTTCTCCTTTTCAGTATTCTTTACTACTTTACTATTTTTCAGTATTATTTACTATTTCACACAACCAATAACTAAACAGAGAACATGAGCTTACACTGAATGTTACATCAGGGTCCGACAGAGACACTGTCAGGTGCTTACGCAGATTTGGCCAACTCTCAGAGTTCAGTACATCAGAGGCAGGGGCAAAGCACAGTGTCTGCAACGCTTCTCGGCGAACCTGAAGTGATCAAAAAGATAAATTACCTCAAATCTGTTCACAGCAACCTGTCAAATATATAATTTACAATATAACACGGAGGAAGGAAGGAACAGGACCTGGCTGTAGAACAGACAAGAAATTCTAGAATACTTATCTTCTGCTATATTTTTATGGTACTTTAAACAAAACACTATATCGCTGAGAGGGAAAATATAAAAAAGAAAAATCAACTAACAAATATCAGAAGGAGCAACAAAATCATTCTATACAGGCTTCCCATACTGGATGCAAGGATTACGTTCTACTTTCTGCTTGTAATCAAACATGTTGTAATGAAGGAGTAGAGGAAACTATCACTAAAAAACACAAATTTACCTAGCAGCTCTTTAAAATGTCAGTGAAGAAAAGTGAAAACAGAGTTATCAGACACCATTTTACTGCTGAATTTTCATCAGCATTATACTCTAAATATACTATATTATACTCTACATTCAAGTAACTTTTTTTTGTTCTCTTCACAGACAACCGTAATCTCTAGCAATTGAGTTCATACTACTGAAACAAACTGAAAGACATTTTAATTAATATTTAATAGCATCAGACTTTTTACATGGTTTTCTAATAAAACTCAATCACAATGTTTATACCAGTTCCCACCCACCACACCTTTGTCAACTGCCAGACAATTCCAAACAAATCTTGCGGAGACTGCACTCTCAAAACGATGGTTCTCCAAGCTTCAAAACCATCAGTAGCTGGTGCTGATTGGTAGAGACCAAAATTAGTACTGCCATTGACAGAAAGGCAAACCTAATTTTGACTTCACTTCTCTCTTCTGACAGGAGTAACACAAAGGACAATTTGAAAGTTACCAAAAGGGGCAAAGGGCAGGTACACAAGAAAATAAGCTTCAATAACTTTCTTTCTCATGGAAGAAACTAAAAATGCCCCTCTATAGCACATAAACTCCTAACAAAAAAATAAAAATAAGAGATGCTTGCAGCAACACTAGCTTTTGAACCAGATGGTTGTGAACAATGAAACACTGCACTGCAGAAAAGTTGCTGCACTGAAGCCAAGATACATGAACCAAAGACAAGATTCCACATAGATACATATGAACTCTTATGTACACACTGTCTGTTTTCTGGTATGTCATAAACATCCATTTGTATTAACATTCTACTTCTTCTTTTAAACTTACTTCCTTAGGCTGAATAGGATCAAGTCTTTCTGCGAGCAGCTGCAATTGTTCTTGGCTCATGAACGTGTAACTCTGTAATACACATTATAAAATGACCATTAGTATATTTTATTAAACTGAACAGTAGAATATTAAAATCATCAGTCTTTTGGATATCTAATTTACTTTTAATAATCAAGACTTCAACATTTATACTAATTAACATTAAAGTCAACATTCTAAATGTTTTCTGCCATTTGCCTAAAGTTAAATTTACAGCAACAAAATTACCATTACATATTTTGCTTTGCTTTACTTAAGTTTTCCTGTGTCTTCACAAAATCCCTTACAATAATTCATTCAGTAAGTAATATAGCATAGTACAGTAGTCTGGAAATGAACTGCACATTACTTGGCTCCTAAAGTAAAACCAAAATGTTAGATGATGTATTGGTTTTACCATTATTTTATCTTTTCCTATGCAGTACTTGCACAGGTACTTCAGAGCACACATGCATTATATTAATCGCATCTGCCCATGCTGTCTAAAGGTTAGATAGCTGGTATAAGCTTTGTACTTCAGAGTGAAAGGAAGGTAATTAATTTGGTTGAGGATGTATCAAAGATGAATCTTTTCCTAGGGCTGTTCTCAATGTCCGCTGACAGAAACTTAACAATTTTGCAGCACCATGTTTATTTTGCAACAGAGAGAGAAAACACATTGTACTTGGTTGAATGAAGAGTCACTGTCAGAACAGTTGTCTGTGTAATAGCCACTCTGACGTCCGTTCTTTTTTCTACTATCCAGCTCCTTATTACGCATCCGATCTTCTTCAAACTTGTTAATCAAAGATTCTACCACAACCATCATGACATTCTTCAAGGCATGCATCATTTCTCTGTATCTTCAAGGTAAACAAGATTTTAATATTAAAGAGCATAAAAATCACTAAAACAATAAATAAATCCACTACATGGTGAATAATCAAATACAGCATAATGGTACTTAAGACCCGAACTCACTGAAGTTACAGAAATGAATGAAAAACATATGCAAATCCAAAATGAGCAACAATACATATATATGTACCTTATATGATTCAGACAATTATATTTTTAAACTAAAATAAAATTCCTTGTTATCATTCTAAAAACCATTCAGTGAAATACCACTAACATAGTCCTCCTCTGAGAGGTTCTTAAGAAAGAACAATGGGAATCCTCCAAAAGGGAGAATCTGTCCCTGAGAGAACAGGCCAGTTCTCATCCTGGTTATTGTTTATGTTTCTCTGACTTCAATATTCAATTTTTTTATCCTTCTATAAGCCTCAAGCAGAACCAATAGAAGAGAACACGTCATCCTCATTTATGACCTCGTGTATAGGTCATGCACACAAAACAATTTCTTTCAACAAAACCGGGGTTTTTCTAAGTTACATAAATTGAATAATAATATCCACGAGGAAGCAATTAGAAATAAAAGCTGCTTCAGAAAAACATCTTACTGTGAAGTGTTAATATTTTATTTAAAATTATTTTTTCACTTATTTTATATTTTACAGTCACCAAAGATAGAAATGATCATATTGTGCTTTAATATTCTCCTACCTCTCAAAGAAAAATGTAAGACACAGATATATTCAGTTCACTGGAGCTTCTATCAACTTTAGTGAGCGCAGGACCCTAAGGTCCTGATCCTCAAAACAAAAAGACACAAACAGCCTAATCTAAGAAACAAATACCTATTTTCTAACTGACCATAAAAGCCAAGCGTAGTTGATTTTATGCCATTCTATGAGTCTATGATTCTATGATTCTATGATTAAGAACTGTTTGCTAACATCAATGATTGTACTATGAAAACACAGAAAGCATCATGAAGCAATTAAACTCCTTAACACATTTTTCTCCATAAATACCTTCAGGCACACTACTTCCAACAGAAAATGAGTAACTGCAATCAACAAAACTGGAACCTTGAATGATAGCAAGACTTATCACAGTGAGATCCACTAATGCTTAATCAGAGTTCAGAATACTTGCAGATAGGTGACAAGAACTCTATAAAAGCATGGTTCATGAAACATATTTCTATTTACTTCTAGATAAGAAACTTTCTGAAAACAAACAGAAAATTAAATCTTTTAAAACAGAAATATACACTAGTTTTTAGTTCCTTTCTGAGGACACATAGTAAATGAGAGGTATCACAGTTAAATACTGGTTCCACTAAAAAAGAGATGGAAATGAAGTTAAGATTATGCATGAAAAATGAGTGAAGAAATGGTTCACCTGAAGTAGGGTATAAAAACACTTCAGCAGGTAAAATGAGACAAAAATTGTCTTTTTTGTTTTCTTCTCCTGTAACAAAAAGTGACCACTGATGCTAAAATAGTGGGAACTTGATTTGTTTTCACATTGTAATCATTGAATCTCTTTAAAAGCCTCATTGTGGCTCTCTATGACAATTAAAAATGGAGAGCCAAGGAAGGATCTAATTCAGTATAACAACACGAATATACTGTTTCAACTACAGAAAAACACACTATTACAACTTCTTCAAGCATTATGCTGGATTTTGTACAGGAATTCAAAAAACTATGTGATGCATAGACTAAACTTTTTAAGTTTCACCTGGAAATAACAGCTGTATACAGTAAAATCCCTAAGTACTACTGATCACTGCTTTAAAGAATCACAGCAATCATCTGCCTATGCAAATTCAAAATCCAAAGCATGAAAATCAGCCTCTATATTCCAATTAAAAGTTATTTTAAATTCATAGGAAGATGAATAAAATTAATAGAGAAGAGAAAACAGAGAAGGGAGTTCAACTGCAACTCAGAGGTTTTTCTACTTAAGGCTTCTTTACCAAATACGGTGTTCAACAGCCCATTAATCTGGACTACAGATCCTGTAATATGCTGGTAATTGGTTTTGCACATCTACTGATTTCTGGCCATCTGACAGTCTTGAGTTAAAAAATCCTGTATAACTATACAGTTGGCCCACATACCCATCCTACAGACAGCACTGCACGAAGTATCTTTGCATGTACACTAAAATACAAAGCAACACAGATCAAATTTCAATTTTTACACCAGCCAATGAGAGCAGACCTGACTGACCACACTACCATCTCAGGATACCTGCCTAGATCCCAAGAAAGCAATCTTAAAAAATACACAAAAGTATTCTAATTTTTTTTAAAACCATATAGTCATGCAGACTCTCCATTTATATCTAAGGAAATTCTCAAGCTTTAATAACTGATAAAATCAATTTTTCCTTTAGGCCAACTTCTGTACCACAACTCAGTTTAATTTGCAGCTACTCAATAAAATAAAGGAGTGATTCATCTCTCAAATCTTACCCCTGTCTAACTCCAGTCCTAGATACCTCAAAAATGTCATAGATTTGCTACCGATCTTTTTATGCAATAGTTCATAATCTTAATTCCAGAGTAAGACGAAGCACAACAAATTGCAATGTAGGGTGAGAATATATGAATTGCTTAGGACTGATTTTTGAAATCAAAGAATGTCTTTTGTTGCCCATTGGTTCAGAATTTATTTTTTCAAAAAACTAGTTCTGCAAAGGAGAAAGTAAGGCAAAGATCAAGAGAAAATAAAAATCTGAGTTACATGTATATACTCACTCTTTTGATTCACGGGTCTTCTTCGTAACATGTTGTACAAGTGTGTCATAGCCAGATACTTCACCTTGATTTTGAGCAGAGGTACATTTTTCTGTTTCTTCCTCAATCACAGATCCCACAGTATTATTTATATACTGCCTAAGGTATTTCACAAACTCATAGCTGCAACCAATAGACAAATTAGAATGTAACAGATTTCCTTAAGTTTACTGTGAAATATTTTCAACATTATATTAACACTATCTATCTTCTTTCCCAGCATAATTTTACTTTGAGGTAAGGGTTTCAACAGGTGAAAAAACACAAAAAAGTTTTATTTTCTTCAATATTATTATTATGAGCATATTCCAGGAGGAAATAATATCCAATAGTTTCTAATATAAGGTTTTGTAGACAAAAATCACAGAGTATCAAGAAATTTCAAATTTAAAATTCCAAAAGAAATATGACTTCAAGCATCCTGAACACAGCACTGTCTTATGGTATATCCATCTGGTATTATTATTTATGGAGGAAACAAACAAAATAAGAAACAAGGAGAACACAATTTACAAATTCTACTGCATGAGCATGTCTAAGGCTCATGAAAGTGAATGTGTCATAACAGCATGCAGAAGATCTCACTCAAACTGGAAAACTAGCTGTTTGTGACTACATGTACATGTTAAATGTAAGGAAATATATGCTCTTATTATTACATAGAGAAATCTGTTTAAACAAAAGAATAATCGAAGGGAACTTCAAACAAAAGATTCTTGCTGGGTCCTTAGACTCTTAATTAGCTATAGAAATTCTAAAATGTAGTGCTCAGAATATATAAACATTCTTTCTGGTTAGTGTTCTGATTTGTATAAAGGACAAGGGAAACAGAAACACACACAAAAAAGTAATCATACATAAATAACAGATGCATCGCTATATTTTCATTATATAAAATGCAGATGTGCAACTACTTTTTGTTAATTGGAATAAACACAAAGTGAGAAAATTTCAAATTTAAAAGTCAGTTCACTATGAAGGTACAGAGTTCAAAGCTATAAAATTCAAATGCAAATAAAAGCAACTGTTACTACAGGTAGCAGCTTCCGCCCTTCTTGCACATTAAAAAAAAATTAAAAAATCAGACTATATTCAAGATACATTAAAAAAGTAAGCACAGAAAACTGTCTCTTGTATGATGATACACATTGCCTCACTAGATTACCTTACCTCAGGTTCCATCAGGTACAACAGACCTTCCCCCACACACACTTTCTTCCATTCCTACATCATTTTTGTTCTCAATGAAAGTAACAGAAATACATCTTAAGAAAGATGCACACATTTATTTCCACTTTCATTTGTGTTCAAGGCTGGCTTTTTACTTCTGCAGTAACAAAACTGCACACAACTCTCCACTGAATGAAAGTCTTCATAAAACGTTTTCTTTATGACAGTAACACTTCCAGGGTATACATTTTTGCAGTGACTGCTTCCCTCGGAAATACACAGCAATCACGTTATTATTCATACCACTAAGTTCATGTCTGCTTGATGTCCTAGCCTTGATCTTCTGCATCATTCTTCCACCTTAAAAGTGTTTTGCAATAAACAAGTGTTTCAGCAATGATAGAACTACTTCTTCACATGTAGAATCAAGTCAGACAAATCTCGTTGGTCTTACAAAGGAAGCAACAGGAAAAAAATAATTTTTTAAAAAAGAAAAGGTTAAAAAAACTCTGAGACTTTAAGGAAAAAATACAACAGAAAACATGCTACTTATGTAGTTAAAAATCCTGATTTCTACTACTGCATATCCATTTTTACCTTAATTCAATTTTCCTTATTATTAGCTTTCTGAGGATCCTGGTTTTTTGTCTCCTCTACATCAAAGTGGAAACAAAGGATAAAGTTAGGCCTCAAATCTGATATAATTACTGAAGCAAAATAACATGAAGCAGAAAGAGTGCTGATCAAAATGCTGAGCTAAACTAGTGTGTTGGAGAATCTGGAAGCACATACTACTCATAAAGGAGCTTGCAGTCTAGATAGAGGGGGTAAGGGTCAAGAAGAAAACTTCTTAACAGTCTCACTAATAAATCACCATGTGACCTCTCTGACTTTCCATGAAAACCAACTTATACTGCCATGGGTCATGAACAAGACTAGAATACCTCTGGAAACATCCCAGCACCAGAAAGCATTGCTCACTTTCTGCATTTAAAGCATCCCTTGATTTTCCATTAACTTTAAATTCAAACTTTTCTCATGAAAAGAAAGTATCTTTAGGATCACCATGTTTTTTACCATACCAGAAAGAGTG